TAATGTCTGTTTTTACTGCTCTAAGGAATGACAAATAACTCAGAGCGAGACTGAAACAAACATATATCTACGAGACAGAAGCCAACAAAATGACATTAGGCCTAAGTGGTCTATACACGCAAAGGCCAATGTCATCCTATACCTATACCAAATAATCAAACTAATGATTGTGTCTTAAGACCCATTTTTCGATTGGCTTTTGACATGGCATGAGTTATATGTTGTTGTTTTTTTAATATATTATTATTGTTATTATTATCATTATTATCATTTTTATGATTATTATTCATTCTATTTTGCATACATTTTATTTCATTGATTTTTTTATGGATTTTTCTTCTCCTTTTGATTTGAATGTTATTTATTGTAACTAGTGAGGTCAGATTGGGCATTTATTTGTATTGTCTGCTGTTTTGCATGTTTTAATGTATAATGCCTAATTCTGTACAGCACTTTGAAAACTCTTTTGTTCATAAAATGTACTTAACACATTGTAACTTGGATTACAGAAGACTATGGACTTTCAAACAATATTCTAATTTTCCATTTGTAAGTTCCTGTATAAGCTGTTTGCAAAGCTTTGAATTGTGAATTGTGTGTTCTGTACAAAGTATGCTACAGAAATAAACATTGATGGGAAGATAAAACTTGGCTGTTGTTGCAAATGAAAATATATGTATAAATGAGACAGCTATTATTCAAATACACCACATGAAGTATCGCTCGGTCTGATAAAGTCGTCTCAAGCAGCCTCTTGCAATGCATTAGCCAGAGAAGCTTGGCGAGGTTACTGCGAGGTGAAAATAACCAATGAGTCAGGCCCCGGCGTCACAGGACTTGTATTAGCACCACTGGCACAAGGAGAGAGCGCATCCTGCCAACAACTTAATCAGTTTGAACACGGGGACTATCGCACGGGCATCAGGGGGCGATCAAAGCACTGAGGGGCCAGATTATCAACAACAGTGGAGCGAGTCAAGGGGCCACGAGTGCCTCCTTCCACTTAATGAGAGCGGCAAGTGTGCGTCAGATAAGAAGGCATGACAAAAAAGTCAGGAGCGGTGAGTGACAGCGTCCAGATACCCATTTCTAAATGTTGAGCTTGCCCACATCCACGTGTAACACATGTTGATAATACGGTTTATTGGTAGAGACTTGGAATTACTTTGGGCAATCACAAAACAGCTGGAGAATCCCTGTTAACCACTTTTAAATAGGTCTTTAACACTAAAAGTCAAAAGCTGGGGGGAAAAAAGAGATAAGAGATAATGAGATTTTAATGTTGCAGCGCACATACAGGACAGTAGCCAGAGCACACAGAGAGCATGCAATATACAAAACAAGTAGCTGCTATGTTTCTTAGCTAGCTGTAAATCAAACAGCGAATTAGATATACTGAAATATATATATTGCATCACAATGAAAATGACAAATGTCTATTCCAAAGGAAACTGGGATCTGTATTATTGTGACGTTAGATTGCTCACTACTGAGATATTGCACTGTTGTTGGGTAGCACTAAACTTCTTTTCTGTTATGTTTTTATTATTGCTATGATATTGATCTTGATGGTATCCTGGTTGGGTCCGGCATTTCATGTAATAAGAATGTACATATAAATGATATCAAACATACTCACTCAAACATACAAAGTTGTTAGTTACTAAATAACAGCAAAATAAAACAGCTGAATCAAAGAAACCTGAAATTGTAAGTGATATTATCTTATTTCTTGTGTCTGTTTGAATTGTTGTGTGAAAATTGCTAAATCAAGTTAATCTTAGGTCTGAGGTCTACATTCTTATTTATGACCGAGGTCGCTTTTGCAAATGTGTAGATCTAAAAGACTCGACAATTCTTTCATTCAAAAATATACTTTTTTGCAGTGCAGATGCCTGTCTCATCTGTAATCATGTCGTCAGCAGCTTCACTTGAGATTACTCAGGTGGCCCATTGGAAACAACAGCAGCCACATGTCACGTATTTATATCCCTGTGATCACATTTTAGAGCAGCATTGAGTTTCTGTTTATTTCTACACACATTACGCGCAACAGATTTATTGCACTTCGGCAAAAAGAAAAAAGAAAAAACCTTCAGAAGAGCTCTATTTTGGTATTACTTACTGTAACTATCATTAGACAAAACCCAAGAGGAGAATGTAAAAGGGTTATGACTTGTAAACTAAATCAGGAAGCTGTTATTTGATTCCCGGGGCTAAGAAAAGGGTTTTAATTCAGGCTCAAATCTGTAACTTTCCATATGTTGTTTTCCAGAAAGCATCAGATTGATTTATGCTTGTAACAAAGTGGAGACATAGAGGATGGTCTTATGGACGTCTGCAGCTAATTTGAAGCAGGTGGTGTTTGCAAAGGTGGAAAGTGGCCACGTTTACAGTGCGCTACTCTTATATGGATATGGATTCCCAGCAGTGCAGTTCACATGCGTCTGGACAAGAGGAAAACGGATACGAGAATTACACACAATTATGTGAGAGATGTGTTGATTCCTGCAGTATTTCTACACTGCCGGATGTTGACACAATCCACAACAACATTTTAAGCTTATTTGAAGGGATAAAGCTTGAGCCTTTCGTCAGAGATTATAAAACACAAGGATCCAGGTTGTGAGATTTTAAATGAGGTATTGCATGTTCACACTGACTGAGCTAAAGTTAAGCTGCTGTTTGTTTTATTTAAATGTATTTTTGTATTAGCCGTTAATCATAACAGCAGTGGTCTCGGAGGACTTCTACAAGGTTCTAAAATCATCAACAACAGATCAGAGAAGCAAACTGTTTGAACAGAGGAAATGCAATGACGACATGTTAATAAATATCCTTAAATGTCTTAAAAAGGTCCCGGATCATGATTGTTCTTAGACCCTTCTGCATCGACAAGGTACAATGACAATAAAACCCAGTGGGGAAAAAGTGAGAAACCAGCAGTGTTGTGCCAGTTCACAGCTTTTCTGAACTAGTTCAAGTTCAGTTCATACATGCTCTAAGTGAACAGTTCACGTTCAAAGTTCACATTTTTAATTCTGAACTAGTTCAAAGTTCAGTTCATTTTACTTTTTTCGTGAGATACTTAAATACATATTTTTATATATATTTTTTATATATTTTATCACACTACGAGCTAATATATGTATATGTCTATAGCCTTTTGACTACAAAACAGACAAGATTTATATGGTTTTCAATGGGAGCAAAACGGAGTTGCTCCATCTCTGCTCATAAACTACAGACAGTAATGCAATGCAGTGCGTGTGTCTATACTTTAAGTCAAATGTAAACTGTGTAAACTTTGTCGCTAACTCACCCTGTGTTTTCATCACGACTCGGGCACATGTGAAAAGCACCAGCTCACAGCGCCGCACCGCAACACGGAGTCGGGGTGCGTTCACAGACAGTGGAAACCGTAGGAATGTTTTGATTTCGGCGGAAAAAGTGCGAGAATACAGGAGGGAGGAACTTTCTCTCGTTGCATTTCAAAAGAGAAAACAGATTCCAACGTTCATAGTGATGTTTGCCGTTCATGACACATAAAATGAACTAATTCACGTTCAAGTTCTTTTTTTAAAAAATTGTTGCGTTCAGTTCAGCGTTCACGAAAAAATGAGCGTGTTCAATGAACGTGTTCTTTTGAACTCGTTCACGCACAACACTGGAAACCAGGCTGTTTGTGCTCAATTTACTTAAAACCAATAAATATCAGCAAAAAAACTGCAAATGTTTTCTAATGGAACTTGCAACAGATCAATTAGTTACTTACTGCTACTGCTTCACTCATGAGCCTGTGTGGCCAGAATACCATTCATTTTCCTCATCATATCACTCTCCCAGATCTGAAGTTTAATTGAGTGAATTCAGGCATCACATTCCAGAGAAACCTGAGTGAGTCTGAGAACACCCTCCATTCTCAACTGTCGCTCTAATGCTTTACAACATTTAGACTTGCAGAATATTGACAGAATGAAAAATGTTTTGAGAATACCCAATAACAATAATAATCGAATGACATTATAGAAATGAGTCAGCAGTAAGCTCGCATGTGCCTGGAAATGTCAGTTCAGTAACAGTTAAAAAGTTAAAACAATAAACTACATTACTACTATGTTTATAAAATCTTGTTTTACTCAGTACACAAAAGAAGAATTACATTGGGAACTAAATGCATTGATTTTTAACATATTTTTCAAAATGAGATCAATACAAAAGAAAACTTGATTATGTTGCCTTCACAGTTTCTACTGTTATAAAGTTATACGTGTTGAATCCATCGTACCTTCTTTTCATTAATTTACTTACAGTTGGTGGTACGGTGGCTGAGAAGGTAGCACTAATCCTTCACAGCATTAAGGTTGTGGGTTCAATTCCAGGCCTGTGTGGTCTTTAAAATTGGGAGGTTTGGTGTTTCATCCAACCCCTTTTCAAAACTGTTATACTGTAAAATTGTGTTGTACAAGTTTTTAAATAAATATTTTTTGATTGATTGTGATGCAAGGTCACGGTATCGGACTATTGTGGTAATAGTGCAATCTATGTTCCCTCCCTCACCTATGGTCATGAGCTTTGGGTAATGACCGAAAGGATGAGATCGTGGATACAAGCGACCCACATGCTTCCTCTTGCAGAGTAGCTGGGCACTCCCTTAAAGATAGGGTGAGAGCTCAGTCACACGGGGGGAGCTCTGAGTAGAGCCGCTGCTTCTCCACGCTGAGATGGGCGTGTGAAGATCCGGGTAAGACCCAGGACACCTTGGAGGGACGATGTCTCTGGCTGGTCTGGGAACACCTCAGGATTCCCCCAGATGAGCTGGAGGAAGTGTGTGTGGAGAGGGAAGTTTGGGGGAATACTGAGAGTCATAATGACACCTTTGTCAGAGACAACCACAGTTGTGGTTTAGGGCACTACAAAAATACATTGAATTTAACTGAATAGTCTCTGAAACAGTTTTTTGAATCATTTTGAATACTGTGAAAACAACAATGCTCTCCTTATGCAGCTCTGGGGATGATGGCTTGAGTTGTCACCAGGGGCTCCTGAAGTTCAGGGAGATGATAATCATGTGTGAAGGGCCACTGCAGAGGTGTATATTCAGGTGGAGGCCAAGTGCATACACAGTCTTTATAGCGGAGCAGTAGCAGGAAGTTTCCATCCAAATAAGTGTTCAAGGACAAGAGGCCAGTGTTAGAGCCTGGGAAGGACCTGACTATCACAGGAGAGGAACTGACAACACGGAGGCAGAGAGGCTGAGAAACAAATCATTATGGGAAAGGAAATATTTTTGTTAGCACTGTTTGTTTCATAAAGTTGTCATAATTAGCAACGCATTTTTGAATCTACAGATTGGGGTGGAATAAAGCACACAATTGTCATTATTGGATATGTCTTACCATTCATGTGCAAAAAGAACAATAGACAACCAAAATCACTGTAAGGTCACAATGTAGGTAAAACAAACTGGCACAAATAGTTTAGGTCTCAAAAATAAAACCTTCTTGATATGTGTCCAACTGCCCAACAAATGTATTCACGTGTTTGTAACAATCTTCAAAATCCTGTATATTTAATTCCCAGATTGTAGTAGTTTCAAATAATACTTTGCAATTCATTTTAAAGTATATTATCCCAAAGTAGCATGACAGCAAAGCTACAAAAGATCTATGGATCGCTAGCCGGTCCTTCCAAGGGAGCAGATCCCTCCTTTCCTGATGTTTTTCCTATTCTCCTTCTTGATTTTGAGAGTTTTTGTTGATGCAGGAGGGTCTAAGGACAGTGGTGATGATCCAGGACACTGAACATTCAACAATATTTATGGACTTTTTCAACATTCATGGACATTGGTCATCAGCCCCTTATTGACCAATGGCTTTATGTGTTTTTGATCATTGCATTTCCTGTGTTTGAACAGTTTGATTCTCTGATCTGTGTTGGCGAACAACGACGGTTGACAAAGTTATGCCCTCTTACCATCTTAAAGACACTAAGTTAACTACTGTATTTATAACATCAAGAGCCCCTTTTCCAATATTCCTGGGATTAACACTTCCTGAATAGATCCGAGAGAATGATTTGCTATTTTTTAGTTTATTCCCGAGTCTTACCTGTGAAAAGCACCTCCGATATTCCTTCTCGGATCCGGAGCACCTGTAGACGACTCTTCCTCCGCCTTGCCCCGCCTCGGTTCCACCGTACGGGACGCTTGGATGCTGGAGCGGATAGACATTCCCGGTGGGCGGCTGATGCTCCCTCTCCCAGTTCAAATGGTTGGGCCGGTGAAGGGGCGGAGCATAGGGTGACCCAGGCGAATTTAGGTGCGACTGTGCAGGTACGGGTGGGGGAGGGGCCGTGACGCTATTCCAGTTAAATTGTCTACGTGAGAATTGGAAAGGAGGAGCTCTTTCCCTGGGCCTTGGGTCGGGATACGCTTGTCGGACAACGTGACGGTATGGTTTTCGGGTTGTGGTGGTGGTTGTGGGCGATTCTGTCCCTGTGCTTTCCTGGTCTTCTTCGAAAACAGCCTCCTCCCTTTGCTCTTTTTGGTTATTGTTTTCATTGACATCCAGGTCAGACGTTGAAGAAGGAGTGATGTCTGTGCCGTTGATAGTGTGCCTGGCTTGTCTGTTTTGACGATGCAGCGGCAAAGAGAAGGGGACTCTTCCGTATCCGAACTGGCCCGGGCGGATTGGGGAAGACCTAAAATGTGAATAAATGGGGGGAAAGAATCATGAGGAAAGATAAAAAGACAGTAATATCTCAGCTTATGCTTCTGTCAAAGTAGTTCCAACTTGACAATTAATCTGACAATTAGTTTGACCATTTGTTTTACAATAAATAAGGCAGAAATATCAAGGAGTCTAGTGAAGGGTGTAGTGAAGAGAAAGAATATTAGCAATACATTTACAACATCAATTGATCACCAAATTGAATGAAAAAAAATCTCAATAAAGCGACTTAAATCGAACTTCTATTTTTTAGATTTTGGAAAGGATCAAAGGTGCATAGGTTCACCGCACCCACCTCCTTGTAGCCCCAGCTTCTTTATTGTTGGAAACAGAACGCCTGTTCCCGCCTCCTCCTGACCTTGCAGGCGCTGGATTGGTGGGTCTCCTGATGACCCGTGCCGGCTGGTTGTTATGACTTTGTGAGGAAGGATGATAGGGCGATTGAAAAACTGGATTAGGATCCTGACTTGCGGGTGAGAAGTCTGGTTGATATAAAGAGGAGGAGGGATTGGCCTGTGCTGGGACAGGCGGCCCTCCCCCGTCTGCTGGAGTGTTCCTGTACAGAGGAAGCCCCTGGTTGTGGTTATTGGGGTAGGCAGAGGCGTGATAGGGCACGTGTTGCCCGGGGTGACGGGGGTAAAAAGGACGCAGAGGAGAGCTGACAGGAGTCCTCACGCCTCCAGGTAAATATCCTGCCCAGTTTGGAGGACTGTGGGTGAGGGGTGGGAGTTGTGGAGGGGGAGGGGCTATACACTGCCTGTTCCTCAGAGACACGCCCACTCCGCAGGTTTGGGAGCATTGGGACCACTCCCCCCAATCAGACCATACTCCGTCCACGGGCTCCGCCTCAAACACCTGCCTGGACTTCCGGCCGGCCACCTGACACACAAAAGAGTAAACATTTATCATAAACACAGTAGTTACTTGGCCAGGCTTTACACCCAGCTGAGAGAAAAGTGTACAAAGAACTGTTTAACAAAAGGTCATCTGAACATGAAGTAACCCATCCATCAACACCACCTTTCAGCTCCAGGGCTGCTTTTGCCTATGAGAGGCCCTCGCCGCACTAGGAGCTGAAGCAAGCCTTTTCTATTACCACATAAAAGCTCCCAGTGTCCGGCACAAAGAAACACTAAGCTACAACTTCAGAGGACCCTTATTTAAGCCAGCACTTAACAGGGGTATCTTTCATGAAGAGAACCGTTCTTCAGTATTTCAAATTATTATTTACAGAGCCTCATTCAACTATAACACAAACATTGCTGAAAAGGAGTCAAATCTGCTTCGTTTGGCAAACCATGAAAAAGTACATAGAGCTGCAAAAATATGACTGTTGCAAAATCACAAATCATGAAGGGCATATTTCTTCACAGCAAGTGTTTCACAGATGAGCTGTCGTCTCCTGAGTTTCCTTCCTCTGAGGCCCAAATGTAAACGCTGCCTCCCCTGGCTGTGCAGCGGGTCACCTGCCAGCGGCTCGGAGCAGATGTCTTTGGACGTGCTGGAGGTCAGGGTTGACTTTGGCTCTTCTTATGTTTGTGTACATGGGTTTGAGAGCCTGACTGTGGGTGCCAGCTTGGGCCATTGATTGCTTCCCCTGCTGCTGGTGATAAATGTTCTGGTCTCATTTCTCTGACCCGGCTGTGGCCTGGCCATTTGACCCCTGACAGGAGTGCTAGACAAACAGGTCTTTTCACAGAGAACCCGAATGACAAATTTAAACATCACTTCAACAAGTACAATCCAGCAGGACACATAAACATCTACGTTCTTTGTCAAAATGTAATTCTATTTAATAACACTGTAATATATCACAGCGGATTTAATCATTACTTATCTATGTTTGTTCATGTTTTATCATTTTTATTTGGGTGGTCGAAAATGCAAACAATTCATCACCTTGATTTATCAAGTAAGAAGTAGTAAGTAATCTTTATTTATATAGCACGTTTCACAGACCAAGGTCACCCAAAGCGCTTTACAATATTTAATTTTGTGCATTATGCTGTATACTCAATATCCCTGGCTTTTGTTTCTTTTAAAAGATGTATCCTCTTTGCATGTGCTCAGGAAGTGGCTATTGCGTTTCCTGGAAAGTTTCACAACAGTATTACGTATATGTTCATGCAGGCAAGTGGCCGATCATCTCTATGTATATATTGTGAATTTAGATGTTTTCAATGTCTGAAGAAAGGAAGACTCTTTTTAGAACTAAAACAAAACAGAATGTAGACGTGTTAGAATAATATCTAAAATCTAGCTTGATTCTATAAATAAAATACTGTTTATAACCAGCAGTGTATTATATTTCAAATACTGAAACAAATGAGTCATAAAAGTTGCTTAGTTAATCCTGTACATTTAAATGACTACTTCAACAGAGTCATGACAGAACAACCAACAGTTTGTACTGTATGTCCTGTCTTACTGTATGTATGTCTCTTTATGCGGTGGCGTTTGTTTGTCACATCTATTTAGTTTACATTTTCATTGTGCTGCAGATAAAAGGCACCATCGTCTATGGGGAGGCTGCATTTCAGATTCATGACGCTAAAATCTGTAACAATCTTTCTGAAAGTGTGAGACAGGCCTCTTCTCTGACAATGTTTAAAACCAGTTTTAAAACTGTTTAGCGTTGCATACAACTGAGGGATTTTTTATTTTTTTAATCTTTCTTCCAAATGTACTGTGATTATTTATGATTTTAATGCTATCTTATTTTGTTCAGCACTTTGAGTTACTTTGTGTATGAATTGTTCATACATACATATAAACTTGCCTTGATTTGCCTATTGTTTTTTAATTTACTAATGTTTTTATCAATTAATGGCATCTTCACACCTTTCCCATGCAGGGACGACAGTTGAAAACTTTATTTGTAACTTGAAATGTTCATGAATGTGCTTTGTCCCTAATCAAATACAATACAGTTATCTTATTTGTAATACATTAGGCACTGTAAGTATTGAGCCTCAAAGGTCAACAATTGCTAGAACAAGACATTGATATTGTAATTATCTCTAGAGGCTACAGGAGGGAAAAGCGATGGTGTTCTTGGGGCGGGGTGTGCCATAATGAGTGACATCAAACGGCAGAGCGACAGTAATGAGCCTGGTGCAGTGACCTCACAACCTGGGCCGCTGCCCCCGGAGCTACTGCTTAGACTCAGGCCACACTGTACCACCCCACACAGACAGAGCAGCAACACACCACCTATCTAATCCTTACAATGCAAATTCCTCTCATTTCTCCACACTGCGGATTGGGTTACGTTCTATTCTTAAGAAGTATGCGGAGCCGTGGGTCCTCCGGGGGGGCCCTGCAATCACTGGCACCTTTCACCCCACCGCAGAGATGCTGTTGTCTGCCAGGATCTCCGTCACCATGAGCTAATGACTCACCTTCCTCTTGGTAGCTTTGCTCGCTGAGGTCGCGGCCACCACACAGCCCCACAGCACATAGAGCCTGGAAGAAGGAGTAAAGTAAGTTTTTGTTTTGTTTAGTCATTTTCCTCGTGTATCAGTTAATGTGAGGAGTGGACGTGGGTAATATTCTGTTGGATGAAATGTTGTCTGGGCTCTGAATATAAAGTAGTTTGCGGTATAGTTGTTTTTTTAAATAATATACACAAATCTCAAAAATGAACTTAGTGGTAGAAGAGACCGTAGCCCCTGGAGGAAACCTATGCAGACACAAGAGAACATGCAAAATCCACACAGAGAGACCCCGTCTGTGAAAGCATTTCATTCAAGTAATTGCAACATTTGTGATTAAAAATAAAATAAATAAAATAAATAAAATAAATAAAATAAATAAAATAAATAAAATAAATAAAATAAATAAAATAAATAAAATAAATAAAAAAATAAAAATAAAATATGATAATTATAAAAATGTATGTCAAAATTAGCGACAGTAGCTCAGTTGGTAGAGCATTGGCCTTTGGGCCTGAAGGTCGTGGGTTCGAGCCCACCGTAAGACCTACTTCACGACTCCCACTGATGACTGCTGTCGTTGTGTCCTTGGGCAAGACACTTAACCCTACTTTACCCAAAGCCCCAACTGAAAGATCTCAGCTCCTGTGGACTCACCACCTGCAGGAGGATCAGTGAGGGGCTGGTGCTATGTGGACTGGGTGCAGCTTTGACTGCCACCCCCCCGACCCAGAAATGGATTAAGGGGAAGAAAAAGGATGGATGGATGGATGTCAAAATTACCCAAAATTACCCACCCCTCCTATAGAGTAATGTATTAACAGGAAGAGTTTAAGGTACATTGGTATTGTGTTTTTCCAGCTTCACAATCCTCTCAAAATGCAACAATACAGTCATTGTTCAGTGGTGGGTTTTGGGTTTTTTTTTTTTTAAATAGGAATGAAAACACAAAAACTTGACTGAATGAAGCCATTTTGATCAAACGTACTGCCAGAATAAACTACTTATAAATCAAAGGTTTACACAACCTGCCGATTTTAGGCCCCTCATCAAAAGTAACTCTTACCCTTCATATTCAGTGACGATTTTGCCAGTTCACTTGTAACTGATGAGTACAAGTGCTTCTGCCATAGGATGAAAGAACCAAGGCTGCATCAACCATCACCAACCATCACCAACCGCAATCACACAGGCTCACGTTGGCTGGGCGCGGGCGAAGCATCTTGCTCATGACGGAACACTATGCCTTTGTTGGAGGTGGGTTTGGACCATAGACTTGCTCAACCGCTACTCTATGACCTAATGTATGCTTACCCTCAAATGTCCATTTTCATGTCATTTTCCAAAAAAGGAACTATTCAGGTTTCAGAAAGTGAGTGCCCCATCAACTATTCCAGACAGTGTGACCTCAGCGGACTTCTCAAACCAAGTCTTCTTCCAATAAACTGCAAAAAGGGTTGTGCAATGTTTTTTTCTGTTCAATCAAGGAACACAGGCACAGGTAATCAGACATAAACCAACCAGCCTCAGGTACTTCAAAATGCACAGTATGTTTTCCTTGTATGTTTCTCTCTATGCCTGTGCACACACCCTGGATGTGGTAACAGTAACAGCACCAGCAGCAGCAGCAGCAAGCCCACACAGCTCAAATCAACATCTGAAATCCGCCTGCGCTGAGGTAGCCCTACTTTTATTTGAGGTTTGATGTTCAAAGTATGTGGTTTTGGGTCAGGCATGGTGTACCGTGCCGTCTCTAATTATGGACGGGTGCACTTCAATTTGACAGGAAAATACATATGTGCAGCCAAGATTTAAGGCAGCCTATCAGGAAGAGTGATTTAACCCTTTGAGAAGAGCTTATGGGAGAAAAATGAAAAGCTAGTACACTCATGACTCAAAGGTTGGTTTGAGTCGTGAGAAAATGGTAAAAAGATTATTATTACATTATTGGATACATGTCACCATCATGGACACCCCTATAGATTACTTTATGTATCAGGCTATTCACTTATATTGCTGATGGATGTTTGTCCCTCTACAGGCTATGTCCTTGGAGTCCAAAAATTGGGAGGGAGAACTGGGAAAGTTCTTGTCAAATCAGTGGTTTGGGGACTGTCCCGAGTAAACAGGGAGGTCTATCTGTTGGTAAAAGTTTCCTAAAAGTTTTTGCACTTGCTTCCCACTGCGGTCAGAGGCAAGTGGACTGGAAACAAGTGGCATCCCTCTCCAGACCAGCAGCACAACATGATACTAAACAGCTCGCTCAGATGAATATCCCACTTCTCACCACGGGAACCTAACCATCACCACAATCACCCGTCCACAGGCCACATCCAGGCAGAATAATTGGTGCCTTCTCTGCGATGTGGTGCACCGCCGTGGTCTCTGGAAGCGCTTCCCCTCGCACTGCAGACTATACACAAAACATACACACACACACATACGCACGGGTCCAGGACACACAACAGAGCCGCTCAGGCCGAAATAACGACCCCCTACTCGGCTCCACGTTTCCCCGTTGACCGCTACAGTGGCACATTGTGGAATAAACTTCACGTGGGAAGCGCTGGGGTGGATAACTACACACGCAGGCTGCTATGCGTAAAGTTCTGGTACTGGCGCGCGCTGTGCGTAAAACCAAGGTGGCCAACTTTGAAATACACATAATAAACAACACAAAAACATTTCAAAAGTTACAAAAGTTGCCTAAAAGTTTAAATTACGTATTTCAACACACCATTTCATTCTAATGTAGCTGAACACGCAACAAGTTATTGTTTTTTTTACCTGAATAGAACTGCGAACCGCATGCTCCCCGTCTCGCTGAAAACGATAAGTCCAGTTGTTTTTGTTTGTGGTGATATCCGTATACTTCCCTAAGACGCGTGTGCCCAAATTCCGCTACAGACTTGCACTTCTACTTGTTTTCTTTCTTTCTTTCTTTCGTTCTTTCTCTCTTTCCCAGTCCTTCCCTCCACTCTGTGCGTGTCCCGTTGCTGTCACAGTCACTCCCCGTGATTTTTGGGAGCGCGAATGCAAAGTGGGAGGCTCTCTCGCACTCTCTCCCGTCCACTCGCCAGTATTGGGTGTGGGAGGGAGGTGTGGGTTTGTGGGGGGTCCCTTATTATATGGACTATAGTGTGCAGAGCAAGCAGCCAGGGCAGGGGTCCATGAGAGAGGCGGGTAGGCGCGCACAAAACTTGGCTATTACGCAACTTTCTCGCGTTTTCTCTTTACACTATGGGCTCTGACTAATAAGCTGAAATAACTTTCAGAGCTGCACAATACGATAAGAATCCCCCATTGTGCGGGTTGGCTCCGATCAAAAGTAGTGATCTATGATGGTAGGAAGCAGCTCTCAGTTGGCTGTAATTGTCCAGGGGTGGGAAAATCACAATAGAAGGATAGCACACAGTCATATGTTTTGCACTAAGAGTTGTGCACATTTTAATTTTACAACCAATGATGTTGATGTTTACAGCGTGTTGTTTTGCGTATTAATAAAATGAACTCACATTTTTTCCAAACATTTCCATGCTTTATCAATTAGGAGTTGAGAAAAGTGTACCCTGGAGATATGACACTTGGGACTGGTTGTATGCGCCCTGAAGCAGATGTGAAAGTGTTTCCCATGCAGGCAGACATTTGGAAAATGTCTAATTTGGCTGAGAGAGAGTATAGGAGGGAGAGAGAGAGATCCCAGTCAAAAGTTCTTTGGTAAATCGGAGTGTGCAGGCCAAACATAGTCACAGCAGGAGGTGAGGAGTGACAAAGAATGGAAAAGTCTCAGATGGGATAAAGGATTAATACTGTATAATGGGTTGTAGCAAGAGGGAAAGAACTGTGTATTTATATATATACAGCGAATGGGCCCTTAAACTGAGTGGACATAGAACAGAATAGATTTTTACTGAAAATGTTGTTACTAATCAATGAGGATAGTTGGGCTCAATGGCAGATGTTGCAAGCTGTTCAAAGCTGTTGAATTGAATCATTCCACTGTCACTTTCAGGAGTTTAATTTGCTGCCCAGGGGCATGATGGGAGAAGTGGCTGACAGTCTCTTGACCACAACAAAACACACAAGAATGAACAACAAAGAACAACACAGGTGGGTTGTCCAATGTGTACTCAGGTAAAAATACAGAGTTTGGCAAACTACTGCTCAAGCAACATATAATACAATATGCTCTTTCTTTACAAAAGTGCTACTGTCTTGAGATCATGTACATTTTCATCAAACAATACTGCTAAAGGGCAGTAGAAGAATGACAAAATTAGATCATTTCAAATTGTTATAAAATTGAATTAGTACTTCCTACTTCTCCCCACCTCTGCAGGTGGCTGAGGTGCGTTGCCCAAGGTCAGCAGGAGTTCAACCATCATGGGCACAGGAGCTGGAGTTACAAAGAACGCAGCATCATCAGTTACGTACAATGCGGTGAATTTTAGCTTTGATGCTGACATTCAAACAACTCAAATTATTTTTGGGTGGAAATTTTTACTGTCAAATCAATCTTGACATCATTCATACATTTTAGAGAACGAGAGCCTGTGGTTGGCCACCCGGCAAGACTGAAGGATAACAGAAAAATACTCGCCAAGATTTTTTTATGTAGATCAAAGTTTCTTTCCTCCACAAGGATGTGTCATAGGGCAATTAAGATCTACACAGTGTGTGAACTGATGTCTTCATGATTTAAGTCAGACTCTCTTGGCCTGGATTGTATTAACTTTGGGATGTTCTGGGTGTGCTTATACAGTACATATGACACGACAAAATGTAGCCTGTCATCAAAGTGGAGCTAAAGTGATGTGGACGGAGGATGGTCGAGGAGACAATGGAGAGATTAAAGGATGTGGGAGAGAAAGGGAGGCTCTGTTCCCTGCTCTGTCTCTCATCACACTGTTTACCATCTCCATCTGCACTCCGACCAAAATCACCGCAAGAATCAGGGCCTTGTCCACAAACTCTTGTTACGCAGCAGAAATGGAATAATCACATTTTAAAGGTGTAGCTTTTCTGCGGAGGGCGGTGTCTTGTCATTAGTGATATAATAGAGATATCATTGCATTAAACACATCTAAACATTTGTTTTCATGAGAGCAAACTTGCCACTACAGAGATCCGAACTGTAAACATTGTGGGGAGGTTTAAGGAAGACTTTTCAGTATTTGACCATGCAAATAAATGCTGTGTATTGGCTTTAAAACAATGCATCAAAAACTGTGCAAGAACAAGTTGTTCTAATCATGTGTTGGATTATACATTATTATATTATACAAATGACTATAAACATATGTTATATGCTACAACTTGACAAACAAAGCTAAAACTTGACAAAACCAGGACTAAACAAGGTCTTTATCAGCTTGATTAAAAAATTGTATTATCACAGCCCAGGGAGGAAAGTGATCACCGGCCTTTATCTGTTTGTTTGTGAGCAACATCAAAGTTATGGACAAAATCTTCAGGAAACATGTGCAATGGTGCAGTGAACAACTGCCAACATTTTGGAGGTGAGCCAAATCTCCGTCTGGATTCTATTTTTTTAAGGAATGGAACCGATCTATGAGCTTTTCTAGTTTATTTAAGTGAAAACCATTTCTGGACAGATGTGTTGTACGTTTTACATATAATTCACCATAATACTGCCAAATAATTTTCATTGAAAATGCAATGTGTTTTGATACAGATATGACATCAATTTCAATAGGAGTTAAATCATCTTACCAGCTATACTGTCAGCTGTTTAAGAACTAGGATAGTTTTTTTTTTTAATATGTTGATTACAACTATATCTTAACTGTAGATTCACATTATGACTGTAGTTCCTATCTTTGTTTGACTCTGTGAGAGCAGAATGTGAGAATGGAAGTAGATTGAAATTCAAACACACAGGAAGTCCCAAAGAGGCAGTTTTTGAACTTTTTTTTTGGACGGCATTGGAATAATATGGACACAGCGATAGTGACGGAGATTAGCCACTTCAAAGCACTATGCGAGCCAACAACTGGGGACTTAACCGCATTAGAGTGGGCTTAAGATCTGATCTGCGGAGAGATGGGAAAGCTACATGTAAAAGGCGTATCAAGAAAGAAATGTCTCCAGACACTTGTCCACAAAGGAACAGGGTGTGCATGATTGTAGCGGTGGATATCTTCAAATGAGTAAGAGGCGTATCTATCAGTGCCTTCAATTAGTCAGAGGTCATTGCCATGGTCACCAGTGGTCCATAACCACTTAGAGTCCAAGTACCTCCCCTCGACTGTCCCAAATCTCCTCTAGGAGTGGAGGGGTGGAAAGTAATGATAGTGCTTACTTGAGAAACTTATGAAGTAATTGCACTTCTTAAAAGGGGTTTGGTTTACGTCTATTCTAAGTTCAACACAATACTCTATTGAAGTAACAGAACTTCTACTTGTATTTTCTCTTGTCCTAAAAAGGTTGATTTCAAAGGAACATTAATTTCTTTGTTTGTACTGTTTGCCGTTACCTGTCATGACAGAAATGTTTATGATACAGAACAGAACATATTATCATACTATATATTATTATTATTATGATGTAGCTGCATTGTTCTGTGAGGACAATCTTTGGATCTCTGTAAACAGTGGCCATGCTCCAGAAGCCCCCCACCCTGATTAGACAAGTATCAGCTAGAGCCACAATAGCCAAACATTGTGTGTTTGAACATGTCCAGGAGGTCACAGAGTAGCACTAGTTTTCTGATTGGTCTCGGATGGTTGGAATGAGTAATAGTACTGCAGATCAGAGAGGAGAGTGGTCCTATGAGGGCGGGCAATCACTCCTAAAAACTTCCCCTCTTACAGACGCTCACCCTGGCTGTAAAAAAGCCCCCTGGCCTGGGGCGCTGGGTACCTTTACATGGAGGGCATAAACAAAGAACTAGAGTAATGCGATGAGCCAATAACTAGATCTGATGTTGTGGTTAAATAGATTCCCAAGAGAAATCTGATCTTCAAAAACAGTGACACATGCTTTTAAGTTAGTGGATTTGTTGCATTCAGAGGACAAAGAACAGTACACTTTTAACAAAGCTTTGTCTTTTTAGTTTAGATCTTTTGCAAATATTTCCCCAAGAAAAAGCTACACAGATGTAAACAATCAGAGAGGAATCAGATTTCTCACATTCGATGTAACAATTTACACGCAGCAATCTGAGAGCCACAGAGCAGATAGGGATCAGACTTGTTTTGGTGTGCACTTACACAAAGTCAATGACGCAGTTGCTTCTTCAAAATTGTAAGTGGTCAAACTTTACAAGGCCTTCAGGCCAGTCCTGGGTCAGGGGTGAGGGGATGAGCCGCCGCGGGATACCACATGTCAAGTCAGCAGTCACACACGGCACGGACTAAAATAGGTCAAGCTGATGCGACAAGTCCTTAGGTGCTCGACAACTCTAAACCTGAAAGATGGAAGTAGATAGATAGATAGATACTTTATTGATTGAAATGCAGGTGTCCAGGAGCAGCAGAAACACAAGCAAACAAACAAAACAAATAAATAGATCATTCAAAAAGTAGATAACAATAGTATTGAAATGCAACAGCACTTTTGGTCACAGCAGAGGTGGAGTATGTTGGTTCGGACCATTTTCTTTGCTTTGGTTCTGGGTAAAATGCTGAATGCTTTGTTAGCGTTATTCAAAAAATTACCATTCCTCCTGTGGATTTCTGCTTGATCAGCCTGGTTCGGTCCGTGAATCCTCTCTGCTCTGGTCGTGATCAGTGTAAAACAATGAACGCTGTACTGCAGTAACATTTACAGGTAGAAAAAGCAAGAAAAA